AAGGGGAAGGAAAGGGGAAGGAAAGGGGAAGGAAAGGGGAAGGAAAGGGGAAGGAAAGGGGAAGGAAAGGGGAAGGAAAGGGGAAGGAAAGGGGAGGGGGCAATTTTTAAGAAAGTAAAATTTTGAGTCTGTAAATGGATGCTTTGAAGATGTCATTACTTAAGAAATTACCAACATTTGCTGTTTACTTTGTCTTGACCTGTCTGGAAGAAAGTTAACTCACCAGTTTGACTGCTTCTTGTGCTGCATCTTTACTACAAAAGGTAATGAAAGCATAACCTCTGTTCTGACCAGAAAGAGGATCCATCATGAGACGCAGATCCCAAATTGGACCAGCTTTCTCAAAGAGTGGTACCAACTCATCTTCATAAAGGTCTCGGGGAATTTTACCAACAAAAACCTAAAAAGGAAGAGGACACTTGAAACAAAGGTTTCTCAGAAATACAAGGTTCATTTTAACACTTGGAAATTCCTGGGAAAGGAAGAAAAATGCAGATAAAACAGCAGAGCAGAATCATTGCAGTCACCAGAGCAGCCTTCACAGCAGCTGATGTTATTGCATGTCCCAAGTGTTTTAATTCTCCTGCCATCTGGATGAGGTTTCACCACAGAAAACCTGGGTTTGTTATTTACAATGAAGAGGCTGTGAATTTCCCCTGCTGAAGAGATCAATGGTTCTTACCTGGTTTAAATTTTGGCAGTTAAAAACTAAGACCTTACTGACTATCTAGGTGGGTATCATATGTTAAAGCAGGCCAAGCACTTCCTTGCTCTTGCAGGATTTTCAAATCACACTGTAAATTACTCTTCCTTGGAAAGCTACAGAGATGGAAAAATTATTTAATAATAATAATTTCCTTTTAATTGTGTGATGCACGTTTTCCGTTTTTAATACACACTGTCCTCTTGTTTCTTGTCTGCATTTGTTTCATCAACAGAATCTTTAATATTTACTTAAGCAAACCTGTGAGTTCTTGTGGTTTTGTTCCATACAATTAACTTGGGTTAAGTTTTATTAAGGTTAATATCTTTAGCTGAGGGCTCCCTAGAAAGATCCCCCCAGCTGTTCAATCACTGCAGCTCTCCTCTGAAGTCTCCAAACTTCTTCCTTGTTAGAACAAACAAAACATTCCAAACACCCATTAAGATAAAAATAAATTTATTTTAACTTCAAATATTTTTTGTAGAAAAAAAAGCCATGAGTCAACATTTTCCTTCTCAGTAAGGCCTTGTCATAATTCTATCTCACAATGAAGGCATAGCAAAATTTCAGAATTAAACATACTCAGCATGCCCTTAATAAGCACCAATATAACAAACTCACGAGGAGAATATGACTAATTGGAAAAACATGGAACAAGGTAGAACTTCTAGATACTTCATATTGCACAGATATTCCTGAAATTCAGTTTCCAGAACATTTCTTAAAAGCTTAGCCTCTCTCAGTTCAGTGTGAATGTTGACTGAACATTACTTATTGGGGAGAAAAGAAAGGAACTGATTCATCACACTAAGTGAGTATTTAATGGCAGAACTAAATGTTTTCCCCACCATCTCCTCCCTAGAAAGCTTAAGGTATTCCTCTAGATAGATATTTACACTGTCATTACTTCTAGAACATTTAATTAAAACTCATTTGCAGCTTTTAAAGACAAAACCTCCATTAGCACAGAGCACACAGACCTAAGCAGAGCTTGAGAAGTTACACACATCAGTTATTATCTTTCAGTGCAAGGACTCATTCTAATTATTTACCACCACCATTAAATTAATTTTCCTTCATGGAATATGAACGTTCCCTTCAGAAACAATCCTTCCTGTGATACTTCTTGACATTTTCTTGATAATAAACGCAAGAGCTTCAGCATCTCAAAGAATGGAAAACTTATCTATAAATTGAAAGACATTAAGGAAAGTGGTTGTTTTCTCATATCAGTCTGGTGGTTTATAGAAAAATCTCTGAAAGAACTCCTGTATCAGATATGCAGCAGTGTGACAGAGTATTTGAAGTGTTGAGCATGTATTACAAAACAACCTGCTAGGGACTAAAGCCTTGAAGAACAGCTAAGTGAAGAAATACACAGTTCAAGCATTTTCATAACCAAACCTAAGTTTGCTCACAGCTTGCTAGGAAGATGCACAGCTTCAGTCACAACCTTACATTTCCAAATAATTGCTTACAGACTAGACTTTGTCCTTTGGAAGAAAAAAAAATTTAAAGTCTCTGAAACTCTTCCAACTATCTTTTAATTTTAAAAAGAACAGTAGTATATTCCACTTCTTTTCTTCTCCACCTTACCCTGTCTTTTGCAGAATACTGAGGAGTAAGAAAGATTGATTAAAACACACATAGAAGATTATTTTCCTCTACAATACATTCACCTTGCAATATGGTTTATCTTCAAGCATTTCCTATTTATGAGTTTGTATAAGTACACGAAGCAATTACCAGATTGGTCTGTAAATACCAACCTCTGTTCCAATGCCAGGCTGGACACCAGAATACACAGTATCTGGAGGAGGACCCCCATATTTCCTCTGCCCTGTAGTTACATCCAAAGTGTAACCAGTCCGCTCTAGCAAAGCCTGGAAAAGAAAAAAGTCAGAGAGGGCAGTGGGTTAAAATATACAGAACAAAAAAACATTCCTACATAAGCAATTCTTTATCTGCTCCTTGCCACACTTGGTAAGGTAGATATGAAGAGATAGGAGTTATAAAAAACCCTGTTGTTTTGTGGGTTTAAAAAGCTATCATAAACAGCAGCATTTGTTTTGTATTACAAGGTTGCTGGAAAGAATTTGTTTGCCTGTTCCCTTATTTTCCATTTTATATATAGCACCCCAAGAAGTGCAGAGCACTGGACAACTGAGACAATTCTCAGACAGGTATCAATGTTTTTCTAGAGCTTAAATTTTGGCAACTGTGTGAGCAGAAAGAGCTGCATTTCCAACAACCCTTCTCTACAGAATCTCTATCATGCATGCAGTTCTTAAAACCAGTGTGAATCTTACATTGATGCTTTTTGAGTTCATATTCAGTGTATGTACAATTAATACATCAGCTAGTACAGAATAACCAGTATTTCTAAGTGTTACCTTAATCTTTGCTTCATCTGGTCCCTTCGTTGATTCCTGTACTTTGCTGCCTTGTTTCTCTCTTTGCCTGTAGGTCTTCATAACTCCACATAAAAATGCACTTTTGTTCTGTAGATACAATTTACAAAATGATTCAATTGTGTGTATGACAAGCCCTGGGAATCCACTGAATCTTACACTCCATACCATGAAGTCACTACTTCAAGTCAATGGAATAAATCAAATGTCAAAAGAATCCTTCAGGAAAATACAATAATTAATTGAACAAACTTGTCAGATTCCAAACAGCATTTTAACTTATTTTCTCAATTGCACATATATTTTTATTATCTGGGAGGTTTTGCTTTGTGCTCACAGACCTACACATTTGAGGCAATTTTTAACAGAGTTGTTATTTGGGTTTGAAATATAATACAGCAACATCAGAGAATTTTTAAGTGACAGCTCTCCTGCCAGTGGTGCCAGAACTATTTGTACTTATGTGCTCCCACTGCTGGGGCTCTCACCTTACCTGTACATGCGACAGGTCACTTTCTTTAAATTGCTGTAATACAGAGAGGGCTCCTTCTTCATTAAATTCCCTAAGAGCATCAATTGCTCTTTCATCAAGATCGACATAAGCTACCAAGCCTAAAAGTTAAAGATAAAGAAGTTACAGATTTCTATTGAATTTCATGCAATTTGCTTTTAAAGCCAAAAAGTTACATTCCATAGCAACAGAATTAGACATTTAATTATATATTCCTACACAAGTATATGAAAGAATATGAGTACAATGAAAAAGTTAAATTAAAATGTATATACCTAAGCACTAACTGAGGTGCAGGATTATATCCCATGTGTAAGTTTTCTAGCATTCAGGAATGCAATCTGCTGCATAAAAGCAGTATTACACACCAGGGGCTGAAACAATGAACTCTGGCTCGCTTTTAATGATTGGAATTTTGTTTGTTTATCCCTCATTTTAAGTTTCACATTTCCTTCTCTTGAGTTGAGCTGTTTTAGAGTAAACTGACAGGTGAACATTGCAAGTACCCTGTTGGATGGGAAAAAGGAACTACCCAAAGGAAGCTCTACCCCACAAAATATTAGGAAGCAAAAATGATTTGTTCACTCTTTCCTCCAGCTTCAAAAAAGCAGGAGTCAGTGGACTTCATGTGGATCTTAAACAGTGTTTGGGGCTTTTGAAACTTGTTTTGTTGCTCTATGCAGTTCCAAGAGCCAGAATTTAAAGAGGTATTATTTTGAGCCCTGCTATGTACCCAGAAAAGCTCATGTTAATTTTACAGGTACAGACTCCCCCAAGAAACACTGGACCAGTTCTGAAGCATTTCTTTTTAAGGATCTTTACAGGGTTTGGTTTTTTTTTTTTTTTTCCTTTTGTAATGCACTTGCATCAGTTGTGGAGTCAGAAATATAGACTGAGATTTACACTTTTAAAATCATACATCCAAATTCAGGATAAATACTAACACTCCACACACTTTGCAACAGCTTGCTCTCCAAAATACACAGATTATTTCACTGCTACTTGATTTGGAAGATGCACAGTAGTGCCAAGCCCAAGGACTACATTTCAGAAGTGATCCTGCATATTGGAAGGCACCTGTATCTTTCATAGAAGACTTCAGCAGATTAAAAAATCACTGAATTCAACCCCAAATTTGGCTCAAGTGTGTAAAGCAGCTTGCTTCACTGACAAACCCCTCCACAATGCAAACACCTGCAGTGGCATTAATGAAGTGTCAATAAATGTTTTCAGGTTACTCATGCAGTGGAATTATGCTTGGTAGTCATGTTCTGGGCTAAAAAGCTTTTTAAACTCCTGAAGAACTCCTCACAACACAACCTGACTGCAACACATGTTAGAACCCCACGAGTTCCTCTGCCCAGGTGTTTATTTACACCTTCTCTCAGACAGCAAGTGCACATCATCATGACCCACAGGTGGAAAGTGCATCTCTATGGCCAATAAAAGCTGGCCAAGGCTTGAAGAAAGCTCCCTGTGAATGACTTCCAAAAGACATCACCCACATGAGCCAGTGTCACACTGAGCATTGATAGGTATTGGTTTTGAACTGCCTTCACTTGATCAGGGTAATTTTAACTCTTTTCAACAAAAACTGTCATTTTGCCAGCCAGGCATTCAAGAGAAGCACATAGAGCAGTTCTACTGCTTCTTGTAAATCTGTTCACAGAACACACTCTAAAAAGGAAAAGAAAGCCTCTGTCTGTAAGATAAAATAGGGTGGTTATAAAAACAAAATAGGAAAACCTCTGTATATGAAGAAACCTCTTTAGAAGTTGCAGAGACCACTTGCTACCAGCAAGGTATTACTGGAGTTGCTAGATAGCTCAGTCCTCAACTTTGTTAGTGTCAGGCTGAACATTTCAGTGTAATAACCAACATGGGTTCAACTGTCCACTCAGAACTAGAGAGAACAAAAATCCACAGGCAGACTCAATTCAAATGTAGTCCCAGGCAAGACAAGCTGGTTGCTTCCCTCACTAAGTCACCTAGCCAGCCTTTGAGTGTTTAGAATCACTGTGACAGTGACAGTAGAAACATAAAAGCAAAATGATGATTTGGACTGAAGAAAAATAAAAATGCACAGTTTAGTATGTGGAAACATACATCTTCATTTGTGGGCTAAGAAACTAGTGCTCTGTGCCCTAAAACAACTAAGATATCACATACAACTCCAAGGATGTGTCAAGTAATTAGTCAATGTCAAACCCAATTTGCCTTTAGGGAAATCAAAGTAGCAAAACATTCAGAGCTACACAGATCAAAAACAATGAATTTTTAAATCTTAATCTATAAAAATTTGAAAATGGTATGCCCTCACTTTCATAACCAATCAGAAACAAGAAATGCATATTATACCTGTCTGAAATATTTCATCAAGTCTCTCTGCCACCTTCTGTGGGAGGCCTGCCTCTATCAGTGTCTTGTAGTGTTCTGTGTGAGTTACACTGGAAGTATCCATTGGTTCTTCCTCTTCTTTTAACTGTACCGCATTACCATTCACCTGATTAGCCATTTTATTATGCTGCTGGAAAAAATTCAGGAGCTATATTACAATAAGCCAGAAATAACTAGTTTGTAGGACAATGCATGATTTATCTAAACTAATTTGTATACATGCTGCAAAATCACCTGTATCAAGTTTTATTTAATACTTTTTGGATGCAGCTGGTCTAAGATTCAAAAGAAAGTACAACCCTTAATGCTGTGGAAAATGTACATGGAAGAATTGACACAGCTTTTTAAAAATGTACTTCATGTACATAACAAAGTCTAAACTCCATCTACTGATTGTCATTAAGTGGTTACCATAGCAGCTAGAATGTATGGGGACCCGGCAGTAACATCCTTCAGCAGAGACTCAGAAGATCTAGCGCTAGTTCCATTTCCCATTCCGCTACTTTTAAAACAATCCTTTAAAATGTAGTGAACACAGAACCCTGCAGGGTAGCTTAAGGTATAAAAATGTTAATACTTGTTTCTTTTCAATACTTTTTTTCCACTTGCTTGGCTTGTTGCCATGTCTTCCTTCAAACCCAACATGCTGCACAAGACTAGCCACACGCTGTCTCCCGACGCTGGCAGATCTCAGGGACAGAAAGAGAGAAATTGCACTTGGATGGACATTGTCATTTGAAGCTGCAATGCAACAGTTTCCATGCTTTCAGTTTCCCTCAAATAGGAGCTGCACAAATCACAGCTACTATTTCAATAATATACACTTATTGGTTTAAAAGGAAGGCATGACTGCAGCATCTCCATTTCTGTATATTAATAAAAGTACTCGCTTTGAGAATGAACAAACTGATTCCACTGAAAAATGCACAACTATCTCAGACAATCCCAGGGGGCTTTGCCCAGTTCATTAAAGACTGTTTCAATTTCCCAATTAGCCAGCCAGCTGATATTCAGTGCTTTCCAATAAAAGGCTGAGAGAGACAATTCAAGTACCCGGCGGAGAACACGAGGATGATCAGGGTTAGGTCAGAAATGAAGCCCCAGGCTTTCAATGAGAGGGCAAAGTTGATGAGCAGCAGGAAATGATAACCAGGCAGACAATGCAGCACGGCTGGAGCAATGCAGGTAAGTGCTGGAATACAGGTATGGAGGTGATTCAAGAACAGTTTTTTAAAAAATGCTGAGGCCTCAAGCTATTTCCTAAGCTGCAAAACAAGTCTCCAAGCATAAGCACACCTCTACAGTCCCCTGAACACCCAACCCTTCCAGACTACAGCAACTGCTTGCAAGATATCCTATGAAGATTTGCAAGGGAAGAAAAAAACCAAATCATTTTTCTGCAGACAGTAATGATTTACTAAAGCTGTCTTATGCTGAAGGGCAATTTTAGAGACATGTAAAGCAGCCTCACACTGTTCCTGTCAGATGCCACTTCTTGAAGCCATTAGTGTGGAAAAGAAAGGAAGTTTTCCATAGCTACATGGCATATATATATACACACACACATTCTGCTACTTGACAAAGAGAAATTGCTTTCTAACCAATTCAGTTTACTTAAAAGCAGCTACAGCCTAATTACAGAAGAAAAAAAATCCTACCTAAAGCTGCAACAAAGCTTACCATCCTTACAGGTATTAACTATCAAAACACCAATAAACATTGATTTTCTGTAGGTTATGAACATCACAGAAGGCAAAACTCTCAGCTACATGTCTGCTTGCTAGGCAGCCTTGGGAAGATCTCAAATTTGAAACAGGGCAGGGCAGAGGGGGTTTGATTACACTGAAATCTTTGGGTACAGAACCATTCTCAACTTCTCAAAAACCCACAAGCTGAGACAGACAATAAGATATAAAGAGGAGGGCATTTTTGTGTTCACCTTCCTATTGCCTTATAAAATCATTTAATTACACATACACTGTCTTCTCTGTACACAGAAAATAAAACCCAAACCAAACCACAATGAACTGAGAGGTACAGCAACACAAACACAGAAATTTACTTGAAGCATTTCTATGACTTTCTGAACTCCAAGGGCTTGTGGTGACACTCAGTGAGAAGTTTTTGATAACCCAGAGTAGCTTCCAAGTGTTACAAACCCAAAAGTTGAACATTTTTTTCAGTGTTGCCTGTAAATGAACAAAAGGCTGACAGGTTATGCTGTGCCCAGGTAGAAACACCTCCTCTGGAGCAGGGATTCAAACTTCTGCCAGGCAAGATGTGCAGCACAAAGAGAGATCGGCCTTCACCACAAGCACGAGCAGGGCAGCAATACCCAACCCCTAAGAATCAGATTACAGCACCACAGCTCCAAGGCTTCTTAAAGTCGGCTTTTAGGCAATGGAAATTCAGCTTCATCATTTACTAGCTGTATTGCTATAAAGAACTGAAGTCAATGTAATGTTCAGTTTGAGTTCAGATTTTAGCTATTTCCAGTTACACAAACTTTATTTAAAAGGTTTTCCTAAAGAAATACTGGAGAAAATTCTGAAGTGACACAGCTTCCAGAATATTCAGTATGTATTTCTTTTCACAGATATAGCAATAGATCCCTTAATGGCTTGGCAAGCTTGGCCTGAAATCTGAGATTAAATTGATTTTTCTCCCACAACAATCACCAACAAGCAAAACTGCATCTCTTATAACACTGAATCTTCCCTCTGAGCTCAGCAGAGATACGTGGGTGAAAGTCATGGCTGAAAAAGACTCTTTAGCTCTCCCTCTAGGTAACATCAGTTAGTTGTAGTTAACAAGAATTAAATTTAAACTGGATTTTATCTAGTGAGTAAAACACACAATGATCACTTGAACATTTTTATTCTGCTCTAAAAGCTATAAAAAGCATGGGAAAGAGGAGTGCTAGCTCAGTGTGGCCGTGTGACTCAGCCTATGACAGACCAGCACTCAGGTTCTCATCTGCATTAAATATTAAAATATCGACAAAAGAAGGACACTGCTTCAACTGCAACTCAGGGGTGGATTAGAAGTAAAGAATTCTGTCTATAAGTACATGTGGGATATATGTTTGTTTTTAAAACATGCAGGAATGGATGGATTTAGAACAGTGGACACAAAACCATGCTTACCAATGAGCAGCAGTCATAAATAACATCGGGGACAATTTGGCACAGCAAGGAGAATTCTCACTGGTGCCCAGGATGCTGCCTACCCTCACACCTCCTAACTGCATACCACAGGGGTCTTGCTTCAACTTCCACACTGTTGCAAACAATGCTTTGCTGAAGACTGTAAATACTTCATGAAAAAAGCATGTTTGTAGCTCATGAGCAATTCTTTATCTTTCACCCCAAATTCCTGCAGCTCCAGAGTGATTTGCAAAGTTCCTGGCCCCTTTTTTAAGCTCTGGTATGACAAGTAGAAGTTAAAACTACAGGTGCTTGCAGTGTTTCATAACTTAAATGGCTCAATTAGTTATTTTTCTGGAAAATAAAAAAATTAACAGAGGTGTGGTCCTCAAAAGTGTATGGCATCTTGAGAAGAGATACCTGATCCCAGCCTTAATCTGACAATCACTGGATAAACAGCCATGATGTTACTATTCCTTTATCTCATACCATGCCTCTAACAGAGGTTGCCACCTACAGACTATCTAAGTATAACTCCATCCAATTAATTATAAATTCAGTCTAGTTAACTCAAAACATGCTTAGGAACAGCTTAATTGAGAAGGAACAGAAGATTTCTGGCAAAAGAACAATATCTAAAACAACCATAAGGAACTTCAGTGCTTATACAGCAATGCTGGTTTTGCTGCTGAAAACTCTTTCATGCAGGAATGGAACTTGTTTTGCTCAGGTGCACAGAAACCAACTAATGATAGATAAAAACTCTGCACCCAAGTCATTCAGCTTGCTTATGCTGCTACTTCTAACCAATATATTGTCTGTGCCAAGCAGTTAAGTTAAATCATGTTAAAAATAACACTGAAGGAAGTTTGGGGGACATTTGTTTGGTTTTGTTGTTTTGACCACAAGAAAACAAATGCAGTCCCTACAGTTATGCCTCACACTTCAAGGAAGTTCTGGTCAAGCAAGGAAGATAAACACACAAATGGAGGGAAAATAAGAATTCACATTTAAAGTCTGAACTGGGGTTTTATTAAAACCTCACTTGTTCAGAAACACTTCTGTACCTTTATTCTGCAGATAAAGGCATTACAGCCATTTATTTTATACCTTAGCTTACTGAAGGCATTACAGCCATTTCTTTTATACCTTATCCTATTCAATCACAGAAAACACACTTTAATACCTTAATTATGATATGCTAGGTGTTTGTTAGCATGAATGACATGAAACTTTATTTTGAAGTAATCACAGCCTGAAGACCACAGTAGCCAGGACACCTCACTAGCTGTAAGCCAAAATGCAGCAGCACCCTCACTTCTCCAGCTCAGCCCTACTACTCCACAATCCCTTGGAAAAATCTGAGAACCTCCAGTGTGATGCTAAACAAGAGACCAGCACAGCCCAGAGAGAAACAAACTCTGCTTCAGTACCCACACAATGATTGGGAGATGATTTTAGCACAGCAGGTTAGAAATGTGCCCATCAGTGCCACTAAAAACACTGAGTGCACCAATAACTCCTAACCTGAACCATAAAGTCTGTCCATGCTCATTTCTCACTGCAGTTGGCTGTTCATAGCTCATCTGGTTGTCTGGGTTGTACTAAACACTCCTGGTACTCCAGTTCCAAGCAACTCTTCAACAGAATGAGCTTTGTTCTAAAGAATTTAACCTCAAAGAATTTTGCAGATGTCTGTCTAACAAAGCAGGGAGTATTGGGATTTTTAACTGAACTAGGAAGTCGAGGAGACTCGAGTATTATTTTAACAGAGTTCACCCAGACAGAAAAACTGGGAGATAAGGACAATGCTTGTGGGAAATACAATTTCAAGGATGCAAAATTTTCAAGCAGACACTGCTCGTTTGCAAATACTACACTTTGCATAGGTTACAAAAACTTACACTGAGAGATGCAAAATTTGTTAGATTACTTTTACAAGTGAAAAACAAAACCAAAAAACTCTGCTAAAGTGTAGTCTCAA